GATTAGTAATACTGCAGCGTCATGGCCTTCTAAGTTTTATGAAAACTTCGTTTTCAATTTTTACGGGACATCTATTTTTTGAAATAATGACGCTCAGCCATTCATTTTAGCTATCATGATTCATGTGTAAATAAAGTCACCCTAAAATTGACCAAGTAATCGAAATATGCAATAATATAGGTGAGTTCTATTTAAAAAAATACAACTTTTATATAAATCACCCTGTATACATCATCGAGCTTTTGTTTGATTCGGATTCCTGGTGCCTCAAAACATGTATTTGATGTTTCCCGTCAAAAAAGGGAAGGGTCATTTTTTTACCCCACTGCAATATTAAAATAAACAAACAGATAACGAGTGAAGTTTTCGAGTAGTTATAAAAAGCTGTTCTGCAAGAATTTTACACCTGGTTTCAATTTCATTTGGCGATGCCTTGAATGAACGTATAGACATATCAAAACTTTCCATTGATAGTAGTTTGATTACAGAATTTTAATTTTCAGGCTGAAACTGAAACTACCTCGGAAACTACCATTCTATAGAAAAAAATTGGATTTATTAATTTAAATTAAAGGAGAGAGAACGGTCACAGATACGCCCACACAAGGTCGTAATTGAACACAAACACTCAATACAAAGACCCATTGTTTTAATTACGAAGAAAAAAATTCATATCATATTGCTTTTCAGCACCATCAATAGTAAAAACCTTCTATGCCATCGTTATATACAGACTCCTGCTGATTATTTTAAGCTGAGACGCAAACTAAAACTTTCGATTGAATAAAATTCATATAGGTGCGCTAGCAACTGGAACGTTTGTTGTGTTTCCACAATCGCCTATCTCATGATCCATCTGTAGTATATTTAAATCTGTGCTAATATTAAGTGCGTCATCTCTCCTTATATAGTTAGGTGAGTTGACGCATTCCAATTTGAGGATAGATGACGCAGTCATAGTAATAATTCCCATAGAGTATTTTTTTAGTGATTGATATTTTATAGATATGCCGACCGAATATAAACGAAAGGGAAGCGTTAAAAGATGCGAGTGGACGGTACAGCAACTATCCGAGGCGATAAGCGCGATAGAAACAGTAGTCCATTGATATTAGCATAAATAGAAAAAAAAAATTATAAAGTTTTGAAATATTGAGATTATACGCACCAAAAGGAAACTTTTTAAAATCCAAAAAGTTCTTAAGTTAGAAGTGTGAGCTTCACCCCCAAAAACTACCCCTAACGAGCATTGCGGTGGTTTTTCTCGTTTTTCTCCGAAACCATTGGCCGCACAGAAAATTTAATTCCCACTAAAAATGTTCCTTATAAAATTTCCTATAAAAAAGGTTCTTATATTTATCTTGTTTTATTCAATGAATTTCGAGCAACGAGCGATCGAAGTTAGGGGTTGCTTTCAGTGCAGGTGGGTTATACCGAATTTTTGTTTATTTGACTTTACAAATCAAACATGATTTTAATTTAATGAATAAAAACACTTTTAGATGTTAAAATATTGTACGACTGTTACAAGGGCAACAAGGGTAGTATATTTTTAAAGTAATTTAACTGATATTTTGTTGTAAAATTGTCGCCATCTTTTTCTTTCAATAGATATAAAAAATATATGAAATTATATTTTTTTAAGTCCAACAGAGTAGCGACATTTTCTGAGATGAAAAAGTATCATAACATATATAGCCAGAGTTTTAAAAGGTGTCTTAAAATAGGGTTTTTTCAGGTACGCCACTGTGCGAGACTAGGAAGTAGTTGAAAACACTGGGACGTCACCATCTGCAATAGGCGATGCGTTTTCTCGTTAACAGTGCGATTACTGCGATTTTAGTATAGCGTTAAACGTTGTTTCACTTGCATGTGCGTTACTCATTTGTTCGTTCGTTACGTGACATATTAATGTTTTATAACAACTGTGTTACAGGTTAGTGCAATTTTAACAAAGACACATAATATTAGAATATAAAGGACAAATAATAGTTACGCTTTTGATAATAATATCATTTTCAATTTATAAACTGCACGTATGATACGCAATATGGCGTCAACAAGTCGTTGTGTTATTTGTGAAAAATCGTTATCTGAAGGTGAAACGGTGCAAGTCAAAAAAGGTCTGATGAATTTAGTTCGCGTCAGTAAGCTCAGAGAAGATGGCAAACATAAACATTTTGAAAGTGTAGAAGAAATCGTAGTACACCAATTGTGCAGGCGGGAGTATATTAAAGACCAGAATATTAAGAATTTCCTGAGAGAAAAGAAATCACTAGACCAAACAGGGAAGCAGCTTCTACGGTCTCATGAATTGTTTGATTTTAAAACTGTTTGTTTAATATGTGCTGAGAGCTGTGACATAATGAAGGAAAAGAAAAAACCTACAAATATACGTCGAAAAATTTTTGAAGTTCGTTCCTTAACCGTCAAAGATACCTTGCTTGAAAAAGCCGCGTTAAGAAATGACGTTTGGGGTCAGACAGTTACTTCTCGTATCCAAAGAGCTATATGTTTGGTAGCAGAAGAAGCTCGTTATCACCACGATTGCTATTCAAAATTTGCGTCCAATCCATCTACAACTAAAAAGAGGGGACGGTCGGAAGATGAGTGCTTAGCTTCTGCGTTCGAAAAATTGCGTAGCTTCATTGAAAATTCAGACGAATGCCAATTTTCAATGGTTGATTTACTTAAGATAGTTGAGGAACAGCTGCCATCAGGCAAATCAATGTCCATGGCGACACTACGAAATAAACTATTTGAAGAATTCGGCGATGGAGTTGTTTTCGCAACAATGAGAAAAAAACCGACTGTTGCTTGTTTTCGTGGATCTGCGCATAAAATTGCAAATAGTTGGTACACCAATCGATTAGGTAATGAAAAAGAAGAAAGGATGAGGATTGTTCGAACAGCAGCCACGATAGTTCGAGAGGATATTAGAACAACGGCATACGATACTACTGAATATCCAAAAATAATGAATTTTTTAGACAATACCGAGAGTATGGTTCCTGAAACTTTAAAGGCGTTTTTAGAGACAATAATTTTAGCGGATAAAAAAGGGAAAAAAAGATAGATTTTTGAAAAAATGTTCAGCTATTTCCCACTCAATAATAGCTGCAAGTAGACCAAGATCTTTTATATCACCTTTACAACTTGGACTCGCCATTTATTTATTCAGAAAAGTAGGTTCGAAAAACATTGTTGATGCTGTTTCGAATATGGGCTTCTGTTCGAGCTACAGAGACGTTACTTTATTCGAGGCCTCGGCTGTGCAGTCCTGGAATCCACTTATTGAGAAAGGCGCCTTCTCGCAGTTTTCTTTTGACAACGCCGATTTTAATATCAGGACAATGACCGGAAAGGAAACTTTTCACTCAATGGGTGGTATACGATGCCTTACACCATATACATCAGTAAATGATACAAATGTTCCAAGGCTTCAGTTGTTCCGGCATCAACAGATATTGCAAGTACTCGAAGAATAGAAATGCAGTCTTTCCAGAGGCAAAGTGAAGGTGGCCTTGCAAAAGAGTCTTTAAAAAATGTGTATCAAGAAGTCGATTTTCAAAAAGCTACAGAATTGACAAATCATGATATCGCTTGGATTATGGGAAAATTTTTGTAACAGCCCTCTTTTCCTGGTTGGCAAGGATTTATGACAGAAATTACCTCTGCTTTACCGTACGTAAAATCAAGGGTTCTCGCCCTACCTTTTGTAAACCATCCTCCAACCCAGTTAAGTACTATACTAACCGTTTTGATGTATGCAGTTGAGGAAAGCAAAAAAAGTGGACAATCTACGTGCATCGTAACTTTTGACCAGCCATTGTATATGAAAGCAAAGGACATCGTGCTACAAAATAACTATGAACACGGAATATTATCAAATGTCATCGTCAGATTAGGAGGGTTCCATTTATTAATGTCGTTCTTGGGATCAATCGGCTTTCTTACACTGAAAAAAAATTAGTAGTCAAAACAAAAAATTATAATTAGATAAAAGAAAACTGTTTAAATAATCTACATTTTTATATAGTCGAGAAACGTGAATTTGATGATACATATATTTCAAATTAGTTGGTGATGCTATCGCTAATTCATCTTACAACATTGGCTAAAAGAACTATTATTTAGTTGTTTTGTTAATACCTAATGCTTTTTACTAAAAATACAAAAACTTATTGTATATTGAAGCTACATAACTTTAGATACATTGTACACTAAATAGCTCCTTTACTAAATTTAATCAATGTGTCACCATATTTTGCAAAATCAACTACTAAATGGCTGTATTAAAGAAAGCAATTCTTTGCTATTTATATCTCTCCGCTGTGCCGTACAAAATAAAATAGTCATTCCGGTTAAAGTTGACGTTCGCAGTTCGCATACAGTATTCTTGAAGAAGTTACTTGTACCTACCTATCAACATAATTTATTGTTGTTTAATTAAGTTTGTTTATGGATGAAATTAATTGTGAAGTGTTGCTTCGACAGTGGGGGCTGGAGGAGCTCATTGCCGACTTTGAAGGTAAGCATTTAAGCAGTATTCAATGAGTTACTAATTTGTTTCAACTATGATTTAATTTTCTCTGTTTTTGTACTATGTAGGTAATTATTATAGTTTGTATTTATTTTAGCGAAAAAGATTGATATCGAAGTATTAAAAGAATTGACGGTTACTGACATCGACAATCTCATTCCATTAGAGAAATTTGGAGTGAGAATAAAATTTAGGCAACAGTTATTTGCTTGGAAACGAGATAATGTATGGTTTAAAATTACTATTTAAAGCAAATATTTAATTTCAAATTGTAGGGATATGTTACACCGCTTGCAAGTACTGTTTCTGTGAGTGCAGATCCATCATTTAATGCAATTGAAAATTGGTTAAATACAGTTCCTGTTGTTTTAGATGAGGTAACAGGGTCCGAAAATTGTGTTAAATTGGTGAGTATTAATTAATTGCAGTCATTTTAATTTTTGCCAATCTCCATTTTTGGAAAGTACTTACATGAAATATTTTTAGGACCTACTAAGCCTAATGAAAAGTTCAGTTACTGGAAAAGTAACTATCCATAATTATAATACGCATAAAACATTATCTGTGAATGATAGAAATACTGTCTCAACTTTAATCGCTGAGTTTTGGTTAAACAACAATATTAAAGTGTCTCATAAGGAATATGAAACTGCAGCTAACCAAATAAAAATCAATTTTCCTTCTGAAGATGAGGTAACAGTGCTACTGTTTTTACTCGAATTTATATAATTTGTGTTTTAGAAAACATACTTAAATAGTAAAAAACAACGGGGAAAATTAGCTGAAAAGTACTATAGTCTTTGCAAAAAATATCGTCAACAAGGACTTATAAAAAGTAGATACAATTTGAAACGAAAGGCAGTAGACGACATAAGTTCGTCAACCAGTGAATATAATGATGACTTGGAAGGAGGGGAAAGTTTTGGAGATTACGAATGGTTACGGTACAATACAGCACCCCCTAATTTAGTATATGAAAAGTGGGGTAGGACCTTCAGGCAACGTAAGAAAGATATTGCTGGAGATGTTAACATTTTTGAGAGATGGCCCATATTAAAGCAAGAAATTGCTGTTTCTTTGGTAAGTTAAATTTTTAATTGAATGTTTAAAAAAATCTTGTTTTTACAGATTGAACTGGACTTTAATAAAATTTATCCTGACAAAAACACATTGCTCTTTGCAAAATGGGATCAATTTGCTATTAAAATTAAACCTATATACTTACGAGATATTAAAGACAAAAGATGCAAATTATTATTAGATTATTTAGAATCTCCGACAGTTAATGAAGGTTTGTATACAACTTTTAATTTATACAAGTAATTAAAAGAATTACTTTTAGATTCTAAACATTACATACTGTGCATAAATTTAAATGCTTTATTTATTCCTCATATAATAAAAAAGGGGAAAGAAAAACCATATAGACCATCTATTTTGGATGCTCAAATTCTTTTGCAGTTCACGTTACGGTAAGGTAATTTTTGAGTTTTATCTTTATTTGACATTTTTGTATTACAGGATAAAACGTATGTACAAACTTACATAGAAAAACGAAAAACGGAATTAGAATCGCAAAACAGGACATTCCAACCCACCATCATTGTGGTAGGTGACTCTATTCATAATTTGGTATCTTTTTATGTATATATTAATGATGTCTTATATGAATGCAGTTCATTTTTAAAAGCTGTTTCAACTACATTTCAGATATATCATGTTTTTAACCTAAAGTATCCGTCTGAATGTATGCAAGTGTGGCAGTTTTTTGAAAATTATTTTTATGAATTGCCCAATTTAACTAAAATTAGTACAGCGCTAAATGCAGTTATATCTGAAATGATTCGTTGATCTGTCCTTCTTTTGTCAAATCATTGTTCTTAAAATGAAATGTTTTTTATGCAATAATACATTTCAAAATGCAAGCGTGTATATGAACCATTTAAAATTAGTACATAAGTGTAAAAACACTTTATCAACATTTTCATGTACAGATTGCCCACAATCCTTTCAGTCTTTATACTCATTTAAACGTCATATTAACCACCATTTAAACGCCCTTAAAAGTTGTGTCCAAGATCATAAAGTAGATAAACCAGATAGACCATTACAACAAGAAATAAGCATTGTACCCACCGAAAATGTAAACAATATTTTAAATGAATCATGTGCAGGTTCTCTCATAGATCATAGCGCAGATATACCTCAGCCAATGTTAAATTGTGCTGATTTGGAAAATGATTATTATGAAATCATGAACCAAATTAATGGTTTTATTATTAATCTTTTTGGCACCATCTCCTTAAATAGAAAAACTGTTATACAAATAGTACAGTTTATTCAAAATTTAATTCTACTTCCTTTAATGGATTATATAAAACAAAAAACAAACCCCGACAGTAAGGACGTTCAGTTAATGTCTTGAAAAAAATTACAAATTTATTTGATATGTTTAAATCGGAATATAAATTAAAACAATATCTTTCAAAAAACGACTTGTATTCTGAGCCTATGGAATTTATAATAAACAATAGTTGCACGCCAGACGAAATGTTGAACATTTCGAAAGGTATATTGTTGCCTCTAGAAGATAATATAAGAAGATTTTTAGAATCTCCAAAAGTTTTTCAATCAATGCAAACAAATTTGGAAAAAGTTAATAATCAAAGCGAAATTACTAACATATGCAGTGGTAGCGTTTGGAAAAACAAAATTGATCTAAAATTTGATAACAAATGTGTAATACCTTACTTAGTATATCAAGACGACTTTGAAATCAACAATCCATTGGGATCAAAAAGCGGAGTTCAAAAACTTTCAGCTGTATATATTACTTTTCCGTTATTAAATTCTGAAGATATTTCTAAATTGAATAACATTTTTGTAGCGTGTCTTACACGGTCATCAAGTTTAGAATTTGGCTTGGCTAAAAATTTTGGACCTCTTTGCTCTCTTTTAAAAAATTTAGAGGAAAATGGTATACAAATTACTATTAATTCCAAACCTAAACGCGTATATTTAATTTTATCTGCTCTAGTAGGAGACAATTTAGGCTTAAATACTATAATGGGGTTTACACGGTCTTTTTCTGCAAACTTTTTTTGCAGAATTTGTCGATCTCACAAAGATGAAATGAAAAAACAAACGGTAGAAAACAAACTTGTCTTAAGGACGGCAGAAGACTATTGGCAACATTTATTTCAAAATGATGTATCTCAAACAGGAATCAAGGAAATGTGTGTATTCAATGCTATACCATCGTTTCGTGCCGCAGACAACATATCGGTAGACATAATGCATGACATTTTTGAGGGGATTTGCCACGTAGAACTTTGTCAAATTTTAAATTGCTTTGTATATGATAAAAAATATTTTACATTATCAATTTTAAACAACCGAAAAGCAAACTTTCAATATCATCGTTCTGATTATGGTAATAAATCTGTTTCTATTACAGTGAAAAACCTAAACAGCAATAAGCTAAAAATGTCTGCTAGTGAAATGCAGTGCTTTTTACATCATTTACCATTATTAGTTGGAGAGCTGGTACCAGTGAAAGATCCAGTGTGGGCCTGCCTCCTCTTGCTTATAAAATTAACAAATCTATGTTTTCTTCCATCGTATAACGAAAATACATTGAATAAACTACAAAACACAATAAAAAATCACCACGAGCTTTATTTGGATCTTTTTCAAAAAGAACTTACTCCTAAGCATCATTTTGTGGTGCATTATCCAAATGTTATACGTAAACTAGGACCTTTAAAAGGATTGTGGGTAATGAGACAGGAAGCTAAGCACAAACAAGCAAAATTATATTTAAACAATATTGCGTGCAGAAAAAATGTTTTAATGAGTGCAGCAATCGAGTGGCAATTTAATTTGGCCGGACATTTACATTCTCTGCAAATGAAATATCAAACAGATTTATTAATGGGAGAATATTTTGACCTGAGTGAAAAAGTTTTTAATGTTAACTTTGATAGTATAGAGTTTAATTCCAATTTGTTGAAAAACGTTTTATGTTGTTCTAAAGTACATGTATGTAACACAAAATATCAATTAAATGATGTTGTTGCTATCAATTCTAATGGTTTAATATCCTTATATTCTATAGATTTTATTATTTGGGTTGAAGGAAATTATTATTTTCTTACAAAATCTATTCAAATTAAACGGTATGATAAACATTTACTATCTTTTATTGTTGAAAAGCCAACTTCCAATATTGACACTATATTAATGTGCAATAAAATTATGTAGGGGAGACCGGGGACAATTGTAACATGGTACAATTGTAACAGCGGCAATATCTTCGCCCACAGTAATTTCAAACTCGCGCGCTTGCATCTGTAGGAAGGTCACAATGGATGCCATTTGCCACAGGAGTTTGAATCCGTTAGTTGCGTTACAATCGTCACCGCGTGAAGTGTTGTGTATTTGTGAACCGTAAGTAAACTATTACCTACTCAATCCTTTTGTATATTAGGTGACTAAATGTTGCTTGATTACGTTCAAATCTTACCTGCACGTTGGTTAGATATTGTGTCATTCACTCCACACGCTATTAATTTCATACTGAAATTGATTCTTGGTTTAAATTAATAATTTAAGAAAAATGCATTTTGGGGACAATTGTAACAACAAGTTGGGGGACGTTTGTAACGTGTTACAATTGTCCCCTTCCATCTTTGGCGCTTGGTATCGGTTACTTAGCAACCATGCTTGCAGAGTATGCCACGGTCCAGGATTAGGAAAACAGAAAGGGGGTCTTCCAGCACACAATTGCAACAAGCAGCTTCCCTAGTCTTGGAAAAAAGCATCTCCGTAAGAGAAGCCGCAAGACAACTTCAAATCTGTCATGTAACTGTACACCGATACATACAGAAAATTAAAAATGGTATTGAACAACCTAGAGTTGGTTACAATTCACATAATAGGATACTATCTCCAGAAGACGAACATATATTTTGTGATTACATACGGAATTCTTCTGACTTATATTTTGGACTTACGCCAACTGATGTTCGTTCTCTTGTATACGAATTTGCCATTAGGAAATCTGTTACAGTTCCCGAGCAATGGCACGTTACCAAAATGGGATCTAGAGATTGGTTCTCCAACTTTATGAACAGAAATCCAACATTGTCAATTAGAGTGCCAGAGGCCACAAGTCACGCTAGGGCCGTGAACTTTAACAGAGTCAACGTTACAAAATTCTTTGATAATTTATCTAAAGTTATGGATAAATATCATTTTGAAGCCGCCAACATATACAATGTAGATGAGACGGGGGTTACCACAGTGCAAAAACCGAGTAAAATTGTTTCAACTAAGGGCACTAAGCAAGTCGGGGCGGTAACTTCTGGTGAAAGGGGAACGTTAGTTACCCTTTGTGCAGCTGTAAATGCTATAGGCAACGCTATTCCTCCCATGTTTATATTCCCTAGGAAGAGATTCAAACCATTTTTCATGACCGGGGCTCCAACTGGTTCAATCGGAGAAGCCAATGGTTCTGGCTGGATGGACACAGACACATTCTTCACCTATATAAAACATTTTGCCAAATATAGTAAACCTTCACAAGAAAATAAAATCCTCCTGCTTCTCGACAATCATAGATCACATTTAGGGCTAAAAACTATCGACTTCTGCAGAGACAACGGAATCGTTCTTCTGTCATTTCCGCCTCACACTTCGCATAAATTACAGCCCTTAGATCGAAGTGTATATGGTCCACTAAAAACATATATGAACAGTGCTATGGACGCTTGGATGAAAAATCATCCCGGACAGACCATGGGGATATATGACTTACCAGGACTTGTCGCCGAAGCATTACCAAAAGCTACTACGCCAACTAACATCCTTAGTGGATTCAAAGTGTCGGGAATATTTCCTTTTAATAGAGATGTGTTTCAAGACTACGAGTTTTCACCCTCTCTACCGACTGACACCCCTTTAACCACCAACCTATACAACGCAGCAGAGATCCCCCAATTAGTTCAAACTGACCCTATTCCATCAACATCACGAGAATCTGATCATATCATTGGCAATAAAACACCAACGAAAATAGATACTCACCAAATAGACGCATTAAACAATTCCAAAGAATTATTGGAAACAATTCGGCCCTTTCCAAAGGTTCCATTAAATCTCAAGAAAAAAGTTATAAGGAAAAAGAGATCAACGGCAATACTAACTGAAACACCTGAGAAGATGGCACTTGAGGAAGAGGCATCCAAACTTCGAAAAAAGAACGCTGAGAAAGTAAAGAGAAAGGTGTATAAGAAAAAAAGTGTAGTTTCTAGTTCATCGGATGAGGACGACGCAGTATGTCTGTATTGCCTAAAGCCCTACTCCAATGACAAGCGTGGTGAGGAGTGGATACAGTGTCAATCCTGCAAGAGCTGGTGCCATTCGGACTGTAGAGATGAAGAGGATAGCTTTTTCTTCTATTGCATCAACTGCAGAGATTAATATCTACCTATTTACCTAAGTGTTTGAGAATTTTAATTACTTTATTGTTATTTTTTTGTTAAATTACAGAAATGCATTTATGTTATTTCAAAAATTAAAAACGAAAAGTAATTCGATGGGTTTTATTTCAACGTAAATTAAGTTGTCACAATTGTCCCCAGGTTCGTTACATTTGTCCCCAGACGCGGTACAAATGTAACATGTGACAGCTATATAGATACAATATCATTTTTTTTAACAGATTATCCAAATATAGCCCCTACTTCGCCGACACATAAAGGAAACATGTCCTAATGCACCACCAAGAGTTCAGATAATTTTCATGAACACCTACAAAATGGAACTTGATTATTTAAAAATTGTTACAATTGTCCCCGGTCTCCCCTACCCACCGACAAATGTGGTAACGTTATATGATAAGTCGATGGCTATTAAATTAAAACATTCTTTTGGATTTCAAGTTTAGTGCATGGAAATGTTTACAACATTGTTTGATAAAAAAATTATATACATGTAGACTTTTGAAAGGTATTAATGCATAGTTCTAAACGTAATTAGTGTGTTTAAATAGTATACTTAAGTTAAATTTAGTACTAAAACTTTTTCTATGTTTTTTGTATCTTACTTAAAAAAAATAAACAGTTATATTTTAATAGTGTTTTTATTTATTAAATGTAGTTTAAATATCTAATCAAAATGTTTTACACGCTTCTTTAATTTGAACAAAACATTAGTAAAAATGTCTAGTTTATATTAATAGGTACATTAGTCATAATAAGTGTCTGAAACTTCGGATAATAGTTAGATATTTTATAAACAAAAAGGTAAATTAACTAAATCACAAGAGTCGAGTAAGCTAAATAATATGTCTAGTATTTAAAAAAAATTAGACAATTTTCTTAAATTTAGTAGTTAAATGAAACAATTATGTAGTACCATATATCTATTCAAATTTATAATGACAATTATTCTAATTAATTGTTTTTACTATTCGAGTAGATAAAACAATCACATTTCTTAGTAGAAAAAATACAACTATCTAATTAGATTAAATGCCTAACTGCATTTTTTGGCTAATTTTTATTGAAAGATTTTAGACAATGAATCTAATCTTTTTTTAGTTGATCTACGTAATTTTTTTCCGTGTATGACTGGCAGTGGACTTGCAGAATTATGGTCAACGGTATACGCTTCTGCATCTATCCCCCATATGCTTTCAGGCCATGCATACGCACGGGCGATTCGAGCTCACTGTCTTACTTTTTGCGCTATTTCCATGCTAATAGTTGAAGAAATTGAAGTTTCAAAGGAAGACAAGGACTATATCCAATCTTTACTCGCCGGAATTGGAAAAAATAAAACAGTAACTTTCAACATCTTAGTAAATGATGATACCCTTACAAAAATTAAAATAAAGTTTTCAGAAACAATAAGCCGGCTAAATGAAAATGGAAAAACTGCAAAATTATGGTTGCAGTATTTAGAGTGACTATTGTGATTCATTTCATTCAAGCGGAACGTACGGGAAATTGGGACCTTCATTTGCGTTGCATTAGAGCAATGCTTCCAATTTTTCACGCAACTGGTCATTTTCCGTACGCGAAGTCGTGTCAGATTTATCTCCAAGAAATGGATTGTCTTAATCAGAAGATGACTAATAAGGAATATGAGCAATTTACACAGCAGGGTTTTTTTACAATTCGCCGTTCAGAAAAACATTGGTCTGGAATTTGGTCAGATATGACCATTGAGCAAACGCTTATGAGAGGCATGAAAAGCCTTGGTGGTTTAACTCATGGAAGAGGATTTTCAGAAAGTGTTCTAAATAAATGGATTCTTGGAATGCCATCTACCCACCATGTATGCGAAGCTGTGGAAACATATTGCGATATCACACCAGTCACCACAGATCAGCATGTAGAAATGAGAGACTCAAGAATACAGACAGATGAACAAGATTGTCGAAAATTTGAGCAGTGGCTCCGAGAACACTCTCCGTTTACTATTACAACGAATCTTATTTCACTATCTACTGGTATTGTGGCCGAGGAGAAAACCAATTGCTATGAAGCGAAAACTGTGGGAGAGAAAATTCTGCGTGGTACTGTAGGCAGTGAATTTGGGACAGTTAAATTGAAGCGTGCAAACATAGTAAGGACCATGGCCTCGCCAGCTGGGAAAATTAAGGTTGGCAATGATATTATTCAAGTCGATTCCACTCAGCTTTTCCAAAGAATATTATGCACTATCCATTCTCCAGAGGATTTGCGCTTTTGCTTCAAGCATGAACTTGCTTCTGTACCTTTATCTTTATTTGACAGCACTGGAATGATGAGAAAGACGAAAAAATCCACATTTTATGATATCTTTAATGCAGTTGCGGAACGAGAAATCAACACAGCAAATTATCATGTTGTTCTTGACGGTGGTTTTCTTATCCACCGCATGGAGTGGCCAAAAGAAGGTACATTTTTGGATGTTTATACTGCATATACCAATTTTATTCGAAAGCGCTATGGTCAAAAAGTTACTGTGGTATTCGACGGAAAATAGTACAAGCACAAAATGCGTCGAACGTGAAAGGCGATTGCTGAAGCGTTCGAGTCGTGAAATTGTCTTTAATAGCAATACATTATTGGTCGAACAGAAAAATAAATTCCTGGGTAATATTAAAAATAAGGAACGACTCATTTCGCAGCTTGCTATACACCTGAATAGCGAGAATATCAGCACATCAGTTGCAGTAGATGATGCTGATGTCCAGATTGTTCGTACTGCCATTAAAATAAGTGAGAAAAATGAAGTTCTAGTTGTCGGACAAGACGTCGATCTTCTTGTTTTATTAGCAGCACTTGCACCTGATGAAAGAGACATATTTCTGAAAGAAGCTATCGGTAATGTGAAACGACGAATGTACAGTTCAAAGGACTTACAATCATCCACAATTATACGCAATTTAAAAGAATCGATTTTATTTATTCATGCTATAAGCGGCTGCGACACAACATCAGGATTTTTTGGAAAAGGAAAACAACAATATTTACAAACATTTAATAGAAAAACAGACCTTGACAATATCGTAGATGTTTTCAACAACGCAAAGTCAAGCCCTGAAGAAATTGACAAAGCCGGAGAAAGGTTTGTACTGGAACTGTACAAACTTCAACCATCCGAAGGTAGCCTTAGTGAGCAAAGGTACTCTTGTTTTAATAAGTTAGTTGGTAAGGCAAATAGCACAGTACTTTTGTCAAAATTACCTCCCACATCAGCTGCAGCGCAGCAACATTCCCGGCGAACGTACCTTCAAGTACAAATATGGCGGGAACAATCTTTAAAGCCCGACCTATGGGGCTGGAAGAAAATTAATAACACACTGTCGCCTATATATACGACAGAAGCGCCCGCCCCGGCTCAAATTTTATCGTTAATAACTTGCAACTGCAAACAAGGGTGTGTGAAAAGATGTAGCTGCATTAGGGCGGGCTTGAAATGTACAACTATGTGCGGAACCTGTCGTGGCCAAAGTTGTACGAATACCGAGTACATTATAGAGACTGTAGACGATGACATATAGATCAAACTTAGTTGAATAGGCCTACAGGGGAAACCACTTGAAAAAAAACGCACTGATTGCTCTACCTCATGGGTGGTGTGGAAATGAGCAGCAAAATTAAAATAGGTTCAAATATTTTAAAAACAGAAAAAAAAAATTACACAAAAAACATATTTTTGTCTATATTTTGCAGTATTATATCTGTCGCATGTATATTTAGAACATTAAACCACATTGGGGGACTACAACTCAGGAGGCGACCTGTTTGTTTCTACCCCTCTTTTCAATCGGTCATTGCTCGAAATGCATTGGCTGAAATAAAATAATGAAAAGAATCTTTTTTGTAGAAAATTTTATGAGCAACATTTTTAGTAAGAATAAAATTTTCTGTGCGACCAAGGGTTCTTGAGAAAAACGACAAAAACCACCGCGGTACGTATTAGGGGTGGTTTTTGGGGGTGAAGCTCACCCTACTAACTTAAGAACTCTTTTGATTTTAAAAGCTCTTCCCTTGTTGTATATAATCTGCAAATGGCAAAACTTTATAATTTTTTTTTTCTATTCGGCTACTTTAGAACTAATATAAATGGACTAATACTGTTACATCACCAGATAAATTAATAATGTCATCTCCCACACAATATATAAAGGGTTGGACGGCAACATTTTGGCTCTTTAAGTGAAGAATACAGGCCCGTAGCCAGAGGGGGGGCAGGGGTGGCTGAGCCCCACCTAGAGACTTTAAGCGCCCCCCTTCAATTATGACGTAACTTATAGCACAATCACATTATCACAATACCAGTTGAAATTGAAAAACAATAAGGAGAGATCTACTTTAAAAATATTTGGTTGCTTAAGTAAAGAGGGACAAACGTGACTACAATCATAGAGAATTGTCATAAAATTAAGTAGTTAAAGGCAAACAAGCAAGCAGGATAATAGATACATTTTCTTCAAATGTAATATACCTGCAGCGTTGGGTACAAGTATTAGCGACAAATGAGGATTAAATTAAGAGAACCGGTCGTAAATTTGATTTCCAAACACAAACGGCAAGATCGAACCGAGGCGAAACTACGAAAAATTTTAACGTCTCGTATTAGTTGCTGGTTGCTGTTCAGTTCAGTCAGCAGTGTTTGAGTGTTCAGGCCGCAGCCGCAGGCGCCGCGAACGAATGAGCTAACGAATATACGATAACCGATACGTCAAGGTCAAATTAATTTATAGAGTCTAGTCAGTAGTCTCGTCTCTGCCGTTATTTAAACGCTCAGTTAACGTCTGTGGTGACATTTTTTGATAGTGCTATATTTGTCTAATTACCTAAGATACAATTTTGTTATTATTGTGAACTATGGATAAGTTTATCATTAGAAAACAAAAAAACACTTCGGGTGAAAACACTTCAAGTGCTTCTTCAACATTTGTATGCGGTGAAAGTGAAAGTTTTCCATCCCAGTTGCCTCCATCATCGACATTACAAAACAAACAGGTACAGGAGCAGTTGCCGTTTCCATCAGATTTAGCTTCTCAAGGTATGGATATTGTTCAACTTTCCTTAGCAATATATCCCAAAGATAAGTTTGGTCGGACTTTTAGGAAAGAATGGTATTCGAAATATAAGTGGCTGGAATACTCGAGTGTTACTGATTCTGCATACTGCTATGCATGTAGGCAGTTTATGATGGGTAGTACTACAAAAGACAATACTTTTGGTACTTGTGGTTTTCGGAACTGGAAGCATGCTCTCGACAATTTCAAAGGTTTAGCAAAGCACAATTCAGCTAAAATTCATATTCAAGCTATGTCAAAATGGGCAGAAAAACAATCTAGGGAGTCTTTGGGAAAATCTGTTTCTACTTTAGTGAATGAAAATGTTCTAGAACGTAATAGGTATTATATCAGTTCCATCGCCGAAATAATACAGCTTCTAGCTACAAATGAACTACCAATGAGGGGTACTTACGATATTGACGAACACGAAGAAAAATCTTTATTTACAAATATATTTAAATTTACATTAAAAAAAGACCAAACACTTTTTGAATGCCACAATCAAATGCCCAAAAATGCCACGTATTTGTCTCCAGAAATACAAAATGATGTCATAGAGTTGTTGGCGGAATGCGTTCGTGATAGCATCATACACGATATTAATAATGCAGATGTTCCATGGTTTACTTTACTTGAAGATGGGACGAAAGATAAAAACAATAGGGAAAATGTAGCAATTGGGATTCGATATGTAAGAGAAGGTAAAGTTTGGGAATCCATACTCTGCATCAAAACTACAGAAGATTTGGACTCCGAGACTTTTACAAACTTGACCTTAAATACTCTCCAAGAATATGGAATAAGTAGCGACCGCCTGCTTAGACAGTGCTTTGATGGAGCGTCAGTTATGAGTGGAAAGAATGGGGGTGTTCAAGCGCGAATTCAAAAAAAACTAAATCGTTTTATTCCTTATGTCCATTGTTCAAATCATAGGCTTCACTTGGTTTTAATCAAGTCTATTGATATTCCCACAATCAAACAATTTTTCGATCAGTGTACCATGTTGTATCACTTTCTTAAACAAAGTAGCGTAGCCAAGTTATACAAAGGACATGCTTTGAGTCGACTTTTAGAGCAACGTTGGTCAGGCCATTTACATGTGACTAGTGTAATCTGCAATAACTATAAAGAAATCGTAAACTGTCTAAATGAAGCTATTGGTAAGAAAGATTTTCCAGGAGACAAAGTTGCTGAGGCTACTGGTTTGCAAAGAATTGTTACAATGCGCCCATTTAAATTTTGTGCGGTTTTTATGAATAAAGTGTTACATGCTTTGGAACCTGCAGACAAATTATTACAAGCACGCGAAACAGATCTTCGACAATCGGCAAGAATTACCGACTCGCTCATTGAAGTAATTCAAGGGTTTAGGGATGACGCAACGTTTGAAGAAATATGGAAGATTTGTACCAGTGGTGACTATAATACAAATACATCACTGGCTGAAGCTGAACCGGTAGAAAATAAGCGACGCAGAAAAGTTAATTCCGCTCTAAAGGACTGTGTCGTTATGGAAACAACTGGTGCTTCGAGAGACTCTTGCAATCTAAAATCTGTATTTTTTGAAGTGTTAGACGTTATGTTGTTAGAACTCAAACGAAGGTTTAGTGAAAATGGTGAACTGATACATTCACTTCAAGCTGCAGAAAATTTAGAGTATGAAAACATTGGTTACCTTTCCTCAGTAGGAATATCTCTTCCTAGTAAGGAAGAACTTATTGTTGCTAAACAATATTTAAAGACTATTGAAAACCCTAATATTTTTAAAGAAATGTATAATCAAAGACAAGCTTTTGAAAACACGTATAAAATGTTAGCTTCAGTTCGAACCTTTGCTTGCAGTACGGCCTTATGTGAATCTAATTTTTCTTTTTTAACAAGAATTAACAGACCTCAGCGAGTATCGATGACCCATCAAAGACTTTCCAGCCTGGTATTTCTGGCTTTCGAGAAGGAAAGAACCAATTCTATAAATATGATGATATTTTTACGGAAGTTTAATCAGAAGAAAAACAGAAAAATTCAATTATTTTAAAAACTTATGTTTTATGTGCCACTGTGCCAGTCTTATGTATGTATGTGATTTGTGAAAGGCACTTTTTAAAATTGTTTCCATCATAATATTCAGTTGCGTTTTCGTTTACATTTACTTTATTTTATATAATGTATATCATTATAAATTAGGATATTCGGATCAGAGTGGATTAGTTTCAATTATATGTTTATTACACAAATTATAGAGAATTTTCTTAATTTCGAATTTTTTGGTATACCTTAATGTACGCCCCCCTTAAGAACATCATTGCCCCCCTTAAAGCCCAACTCTAGCTACGGGCCTGGAAGAATATGATCTTCTACTTCCTGCAAAGACCTCCCGATGAACACGAAAGCCCCTTGGGAGTCCCGAATCGTGTAGCGCAGGCTAGACCTCTTGGTGCCTGTTTTGGACACTACTACTTTTGTCGGCACAAAATAGCCATGTAATGCCCAAAATATGGCAGCATTTCTTTCATCTGTAACGTTATTCATGTCATTAATAAACATTTAAAAAAGGATGCGGTAGACTAACTTTCAGGTAAGTTTGGAGTCGAACTTATGGTTTCCAGCAAAGCCTTTACTTTTTTGTCTTTCACATTGTTGTCAGAATTTAAAAAATTGAGTATGGAACTCCAGTAATATTCCCAATGTAAAATAAGTCCATTTCTATTGTTGAAACTTAGTCCAAAATCAATATCAATCTGAAAAACAAATGTTGTCAATGAAATACATTTAGAAAGTAAGTATTGTAGTACCAAACGATATCCCGATGGGGTTCTATAATACGGCCATACTTCTATAATAGATGTTATCGTTGATGTCTCCTCTTTAATTTGGTTTATTCAAAATTGGGAACACGCTTTCCACACACTGTCAAACTCTTGTGCGCTTAGATTATCATATTTGAGACAACGAATGCAGCTCTCCGCATTTTCTTCAGACTCTGAAATGTAATAAGTATAATTCTTTTCACAAAACTTTTTTGACTTGGGAATTACATAACAAAAAAGTTAAATTTTTACAAGTTACAAGGATTGATGACGTACCAAATTCATTTTCGTGCCTAGTTTTATTTTTCAAACTTTTCTTTTTCGGTGGTAAAATGTGACTAGATACGGCCGACTTAAAAGATGACTTCTTTACCGATACGATAAAATTCCTGAAAAATATGTAATTTTAGTACAGTAGTATATAAGAGAACCGTATGTATTTACCATTTTTTCATTGGAGAAACGTGCTAAAATTTCTTGCTCTATTCTATGACGACGCTAAAGTTAAAGGTACTGATTTCTCTTCATAAAAAGTAGCAATCAGGCCAATCAATAGAGTTCGTTGTTCTTCGCTGAATTTAGTAAATTTATTATAATACTCGGTAAGCATTATTCCTTTGGGAGTTTCATTTAACACGTTAGCCAAAGGTATGTAATCGTCTGGAGCCGTTGAAGGTCGCCTGTAGGGGATACATCTCGTTGGTGTTGCTTCTCTAGAATAAGAAGTAGAAGGAGTTGAATATTCTGTGCTGGCTTTATCAGAATACAATGGTATTCCAAGAAGCTCGCGCCACTCTTCTAAGTAATGTTCAAACTTTATCTGTGTACCCATGTCAAATATTCTTAAAAGGCGTTCGATTTGATGCCTTTTTATAATTTTCAAAATAGGGATGAATACATTCTGATCTATAAAAATTAGAAAGTACCATGGTTAGAGATCGAACCTTCAATAGTACAATAATATTAATAATAATAGACCTACTTATTAAATGATCAGCAATGTTGTCAACCTGCCAAGTTGACATTAAACTTCTTAATTCAATTTCATCTTCATTAGCCGATGGTACAATGACATTAGTAGTGGCAGTAGATGATGGGCCTGCTATAGAGGCTGATGAGATGTCTTCTAAAGGTGTGTCCGTCATATTATCAGAATCTCCAAATGGATAAATATCCTTAAACACGCTGTCGAAGCCGGCGTCATACAGCGACATGACATGTGAAGAATGAAAATCCTACCAAAAGCAATACAAATAAATGTCACCTCCTGTTTAGTTTGATTTGTTTTCATTTTGAGCATTTTAAAACTTCGTTTTTTTACCAATTAGTTAATTTGACAAAAAATAGGACTAGGGAAGTTGCCACAGTTATCTATGTGTACTTATTAATGAAACTGTCTTTATATTAATTGTTTTGACTTTTAGAAAATGGACATTGTTAAAATTGGAGGAAGTAATCCGGGAGATTTCATTCGCCGTGTAATGCCACGCTTAATGGACGATGCTGTATATAAGGAATTTAATTGGGAAGGCCAAAAGAAAAAAAGGGCATTTAACTCCTTGCACTTAAGCAAGTTGCTTTTGAGTAAGTTACTATATTCTGTTCACAATGAATTTGTTGCCTTTTAATCTACCTGTATATATGCACCAAATGCACTATATTACAGATCATGAGCAATCGAACAGCTATACCTACAGATATATTTTTTATAGGTGGCCTAGCAGTAAGCCAAAAGTTAGAAGACGAAAAGATTGCCGCGGGTGTTATAAAAATTTTTTTTAAAAATGCGACTGAGCGTATGAAACAAAAGGCCGTAAAAGACGCTAACAATTAACATCCATGAGTATTATTTTGTATTCAAGTACATATGTATTGTATTTCGGTATACATATGTATTATTATTAAAGTTAAAGTGCCTCTAACAATGTTTTTTTATCTTGTTATGCTATCACTGGGATGTCGCCGATTGCTATCCTTGGGATATCGATTTTTGTGACGTTTGTCCATCCAGAGGATATACAGCATAGGTATATCCAGAAGCTGAACTTTGACTTCCTCTGGATGTCTGAATATCTATGGGATTACTTTGTGTTGTGTGGGATATAAGCAATTATGTTTTTACCTATTACTTTATGCACTTAGGACCTACTTCTATTAATCTAATTCTTTCAGCTGCTGTAAAACGAAATAAATCTTTGGTTGGTGCTACAGAAAAAGATGTGATTGATTCAATTAAGAATTGGTTAAGACATGTTGCTGCAAGATATTCAAATCAATGGTATGTTATTGTTGCATGTATGTTTATTTATCAGGAAAATTTTTTTTCTAATTATAGCAAGAAGAATCCGAATCAAGAAATACAATGAAGTGTATAAGTTACAGATTCGTAAAATAAAGATTGCTATAATCTGAAATTTTTTATTTAAAAGGATATCTAATGGATATCTTTTTTCACCCCTTTCATAAAACCGGTAGATATCTAATGGAGATAATCATTTAACGTCTAATGGAGATCTGTATGGATATCCAGATTGTTGGATATAGTGGGACATCCACTATACGTCTATGTATATCTAATAGAGATCATGGATATCCATAAAAAACACATCTTAGACGTCTAATGGTTGTCTTTGTGCTGTGTGGGAAGCAGCAAGTTCACATTCCATGTTCAAAACAAGGAATACGCATAACATAACCTATAACAACACCACAATTCGATGCGGTTTCGACGTTTCTAGCTTGCGGTCCAGAGACAAAGTTTTTACAGCAGGAATGATGGAATCAAAAAATGGCGTATCTTCATCTGGTAGTTGTTATTCTATTAGAGTTGGTGCCTGAACCTGTGGTTTACTCATGACATTTGTCTATGATTCGCGCCGTTTAGATGCTGGTAATTTCAAAGTTATCTGAAGGATCATCAGACGTCCGATCAATGAAGTTCTCAGAAGTGTTGTTTTGCGTAGAGGCGTTATCATTCTTGTGATTATCTTCATTTTCTCCCACCTCCTCGATGCTGTTTTACGTAGATGCCGCTTTTGTTGGATAACTTCCCGACCAGCTCCCTGTCCTTCTTTTCCTCAGTTTTCTTGTAGTTTCTACGATATTCTGTTACCACTTCAGCTTTTTCTTTAAAACAGACACAAATAATAATTAATAAATTGAAGAAATATATTTATGACACTCATATTAATCAAATCAATGATTGACCTTCATTACTAGTACAGGCTTGGACTGTATGCAAAACTGTCAGAAAAGTTTGTGAGGCAGTAAGTAATTTCTGAATTCCTCATCTCAAATTGGGTTGGAATATTAAGAACACACGATGTTGTCTTCCCCAATTAAATTTATATTTCTGCTATGGTATTACAGTTGTTGCAGATTAAGATGTACAATGGCTGACATATGTTTCGGTTTGATTATCAGCAGGGCATTATCAAAGCAAAAACTACAAGAATGTTACAATAATTAAACGGTTGTTACAACATTGGAAAATAACTTACTTATTAACCGACGACAAATTAACAACATTAATTAAATTAAACGGCAAAAGCCGGAGTTACAGCCAAAACTAGGACGCTGAAGGCCATGTCTGCTAGTCCGCATTAGGAGAACCCATGTCCATAAGTTAACATGTGGTCAATGACGTTGAAACATAATTAAGGACAAAAAGCTGGGATGAGCCAAACTATGGACACTTAAGGCATGTCACACAGCTGCAGTTGTCTTGATCTAAAAAGTTTACATTAAAAATAAGTTTCATTAATTGGGCACGGTCCATCAGCCTACTTGACCAGGGAAGAGGGGAAAGGACGTTAGAAGAATGGATTGTTGACAGCCAACAAAAAGGATTTCCCAGAAGGATATTTGATGTTCAAGCATCCGTGAAAACTTTTTTAGATAATCATCCCAGACACACCCTTTAAAAATAATACTCCAGGTAGGCACTGGTATAACGCGCTTTTAAGTAGACATCCAAATTTAACTGCTCGAACCCCGGAAGCTGTCACCAAAGCAAGCAGTAATGTGTCTGAGAATGACATCAGAAAATGGTTCCATATTGTAGAGGGATATTTAAAAGAGAAAAATTATTTTAGTATTCTGGAAGATGCTGATAGGATTTACAATGGGGATGAAACGTGTTTTTTGTTATGCCCGAAGGAAGATAAATTCATTGCTCCGCGTGGTACAAAAAATGTGTATCAGGTTGATCAGGGGCCTGCTAAGGCAAATCTTACTGTAATGTTTACTTTTTCCTCATCCGGTGCTATTACCCCGCCTATGGTTATATACCCTTATAAAAGGTTCCCTGCCTCAATCGTTGATAGTGTACCAAACGAGTGGGGAATCGGTACTAGTGATAACGGGTGGATGAAGGCCGAGTTATTTATTGATTATATTACCAATGTGTTTCATCCCCATCTTGTGAAACAGAAAATAAAATTTCCCGTAATCTTATTCGTTGACGGCCATAAAACACATATGACATACCAACTCAGTACACTGACTAATAAGGCGTTTTTAGGTACTGACATATGTTTGATTTTATTGACAAGCTCTAGAGCAGCGTTTCCCAACCAGTGGGTCGCGACCCCCAAGGGGATCGCCGTGGCTTTTTAATGGGGTCGCTGTGGCTATTTAAGGAGTCACCAATTTTTGTAACCTTGAATACAGAAAGCATCAATTGCAGAGCGAATAAATTTATTTGAATGTTATTTTTGAAAGTGACAACGCGCATTTTTTCCGCCTCAAAATACAGGTCGACAGACCTAAGAAGAAAGGGAGGTGCCTTGTTAGCGCATCGTGGGACGAGGCCAGCGCTCTGTGTTAGCGCCAATTTAGTACCAACGTGACAGCGCAGTCGTTCGTCAGTCAATGAAGGGCAAGTTAGTGTTGCTTTTGGTTACGTGTGTTGCTGCTATTATAATCACTAATCTTGCCGCTTGCTTTCTGAATAATTAGGTAAGTACGTACCTATACGTTTTGAAAAATTCGTTTCTGTAGCTAGCTAGTAGGTACCGCTACTTAAAACTGCTTGTTCGGCGAATAACTTATATGGCGTAAGTTATGGCCACTATAATTGTCACAACTCGGACAACGTGTAAATCGGCTTCTATTTCAAAACACCCACATTTTTCGTAGCATTTCTGCTGGAGCAAAATTGGAATACCTACACCTAATTTGGGTCTTTCTTTCTTTTCAGAAACCAAAGTCATGGATAAAAAGAGAAAGTATTCAGATAACTATTTAAAATTTGGATTTTGTGCTATTGTCAATAATGGCATAGAAAAGCCCCAATGTGTTTTATGTAATGCAGTTCTTAGTGCCGAGTCTATGAAACCTTCAAAGCTCAA